CTTCTTATATACTCTCTTGGGAGGAGCCTAATCACAACCACCTGGGCCTGATTATCTTCTATGTCTCCGTAATTGCTGCCAGCGCTTATTCGCCCGTCTCTGGCGTCCGGGACCAACTCCCTTTGTTCTTCCCCACTGCTCCAGGGCCTGACATCAGGGACAAACTCCCTTTGGCTTTCACCGCTGCTCCATGCCTCAGGCACCTCCTTGTGGCCAACCAGCCTCTCTGGTCCCTGTTCGGAGTCTGAACCCTGCCCAGGGTCCTCCACATCGTCCAGAGCCAACTCATAGGGTCCCTCGCTATCAGAATCTGTCGGCAGCTTCAACGGCTCCTGCTGGGCCACAACAGTTACCTAATGCTCACTAATGTTTGACAGAGTTTGCTTTTAACCTTTGATATACTAAATATCTTTCACTCCAGACTGCCATGCTTTTGAATCAGGCCTTCTTGGGAGTTAAAATCCAGTTGTGAACATTTCTGCTGCATCTCAAGAAGTATTTTGCCTCAGTTGGCATTAGAACAGGACAACTGAAGGCACAATTAATTGCATTTATAGGGTGACCCGCTTGCCAGGTGACTCACCAACTTAACACGGACTGTATTTTTATTTCGTTTTAAAACAAAGATGCAAAGTATATTCCAACTATCCTGTTCTGCCTGTTCTAATACCAAAAGAACTTTTAACTAAGAGTTCCAACTAAATATTTAAGAACAAAAGATTCAGTCCGGTAGTATGCATGCTTTATTCAAAATTGTTGTGAGCAAGAAGGCGGCTATATAAATTAATTAAAATAAATAAGTAAAATTTTCCTGGAAATTTTTTTTAATAGGGAAAAAGCCTGTGGAGACGCAAGGGCAGAAAGCAGAGAGCAGGTATTTCGGGTAAGTGGCAAAAACTTGGGAGAACTGGAGCAGGTGGGCACAGGCCTGTGCTAGGCCTCCAAGAGCCACCCCTACCTGAAGGCATCCCATGATTAACTTAATGACTTGCATGTTCATTTAATGATTCAATGGGAAGAGCAGGGATGGGGGTATCATAAGTGAGATGCTTCACTTGACAGTTCTCAGGACATGTGCAAACTGCATTATGATCATCTCAAGGGCTAACTGTAATACTTTCCTACTTTGGGTTTCCTACAATCTTTTCATCAAGTATTAACTACCAGATTTCCCTGCACTTCTAGAAGAATGTCAAACAGAAGTATTTCCAACGTGCTATAATTAGGATCTTGCTCAAGTGTGACAGATGAAGTTTACAGCATTCTTTCCAGGGTTTGTACTGGAAATCAACTCAATACATGTCTAAGATATAATTTTTGTTAATTTAAAAGTATTTGTTCTGATATTAATTTTTTTAACATTTCTAGAACCCCTCCTGCAAAAATAGAATCCAAAACAGAAACCAGGATAGACCTAACATCCATGAAATATCAATGGAAAACCTGAAACCAAGGTTTTCTGCACAACAGAAAATCTCACTTACACTTTGAAAGTCAAATTAACCATTTACGGCACATTAAAGATAGCTTAAAATGAAGTTTGACACTGTAGTCATGAGATACTTAGAGCTTTACTTTGTTTGCCCACTTTAGGAAGCAGAGATTAATCTTTTGTCCATTACAGTTAGCAAAATACATCAAAAATTTTCTTTTACTGGTACACCAATTGCTACGCCATCATGGCACAAATTACATTAGAGGTAGGGGAGAAAAATGATTATTTGGCAAAAGCAGTGCTTTTTAACTAATAATATGTAGTAAAACATGTTTCAGATTAGGGCATTACTGTAACACAACTGGCAATATAAGTAGTTTAGCTAAAAAAAAAAAAGCCAAAACCACTGGAGACACAATCTGTTATTGCACTGATTGAAGATGAATTTGATTTGTTCATTCATGGGCAACAAAACTATCAAGTGATTATTACACACACACAAAAATCTGTATTACAGAGTCAGAATATTTTTTTATAGAATGCTTACCTATACAATAACAATGTTGATACGTCACTCAGCTAACAAAATGTACATATTTGTAAAATATATGCGTTTTCACTTCACTTCTCTCAACGCTTCTTTAAACAATACAAAACCAGGGCTTAAGAAATATGAAAACTATTACAGCAATTATATTTTATGTAAGTTGTGTATAGCAATGCTGAGAAAAATCTCAGTGAACGGAAACATATAATACTTAGGAATTACTTGAGAATTCACTAATTCTTCAATACAGTACATTACAATGATATGGAACCAATTCGTATACTGGGATTCTCTGAAAGAATTACAGGAGCCATGAATGTAACTTGACTGGAAGATGGGTTGCCAGCCATAAAGGCTGCTCCTCAAATATTTATGTAGCTCAGTTCATGAAGGTTATGATAAACTAACCTACATAGATAAATGCATATTTCTTTTCATAGAAGATTCCCCAAAAAACTTACAATAAGACCAATAATGGTAATATAAACTCAGTCTGCTTCTAATTCCACTGATATATACCACTGAGCTCAAGTTTCCACCTCCATAATACTCCAAGTTTCATTGCCAATGTACTATTCTTATATCTTTTCAACTCATTACAGTCACCCACACATACCACACATATATGAACTGTGGCTTAGCTGCTTGTTTTTTATTTATGAGTAGGCATAAAGCTGAGATTGAGATAAAACACTTTCTCCTATGTTGGAAATAATGTTATATAAACCAACTGTCATGCACAATCTAGAAGTTTAAATGTGGCACAAGTATAAGCTGTTGTAACTCTATGGGGGACAAGTAACAAGCCTAAATATGAAGCTATGATTCACTAAGGCATTATTTAAATCCTGGGAAATGGCAAAATAATTTCATCTTTAAGTAGCTAGCACACACACATTTGACTGGATGACTTTCCAAGTATCTATAGTATATAGAGAGGCACCATACAATTCAAAGGAACTTGAAATGGCATGCCAGTTAATACAAACTCCTAAACTCAGGCAGTTTGTGAGTAATATAATTAACATGAAGACTTCAAACCATTTAGTGTTTCGATCACATCCAAACCTGAAAGCTCTGGAGCTGAGTTAGCAACTTTTATCAAAACAATTAGAAAACTGAAAAGTTAGCACAAACATGAGCAAATCATAGACAACATGCAATCACATTTTTACAGCTCCAGAAACTCTTCAAGATATTTATGTGTAATATTTATTTATCTAACATTTATTTTTTTGGTGGGGGGGGGGCATAAACATAGGATAAGTGTGCTAGCCCTCCAAAAGACTCTAACACATCTACCTTTCATCTAAAAATCCCCCTAACAAAACAAAGAACAAAACACAGAGACACAAAGGCAGCAGCAATTTTTCAGAATCAATGCCTCCAGTGGTATCAGTACATGTCTATCATGGCCTTGGAGATCAACTTTTTTTAAGTGATGTTGTCCGAGTCAAAAAAGATCCTCACTTTAGCTTAGTACCTGAAAACTATGCAGCTATTAAATGTATAGTAGAAGCACATAAAATATAGTAGGCTGAATGTATTATACAAAGCAGCCAAGTTCGTTACAACTGGATTATTTTCCAATTATATTAAAAATAATTGCACTTGTAGTGTAATACTTTTAGTCAAAGTGCAAAACTGTAGAAAACACAATTAATATAAATATATTAACATTGCAAGGTTGTACCATGCAAGAAGAGTCAAAGTATCCAAAGAACCTAAACAAGAGTTTTTAAATAAGATTTTTTTCCTCTTGTGACATATGGCTGTAAAACCAATGTAGTTTTTCTATATAACTCCCATGTACAATAAATTAGAACATTGCTATAGATTTCCTAACTGCCATCTTTAATTAAGAACTGGAAGAGCAGAGAATGTGAAAGCTGCAATCTTGCAAGAAACAGCCTGCTCTAACAGGATAGCTTTGATTGCAGATATAAAGCATTTTGTGACATTCAGGAGTACCGTGTTGCCAAAACATGACATAAGACATTCTAAAGACTCTAAGCCAGATAAATTCTAGAAAAAATGGTGCATGATGCAAGCTATTTCAACTGTACAAAGTTGAGTGTTGACACAAGCAGGATGGCAGTTGTTTTAAATCCAAAATCTTCCTATGGCAATAAGTACCATAAACTAATCTGGCTATCCATTTTTGTTTTAATATATGGATTTAAATCAAACTCAGAGAAAACTTTGTTTTATATCTTCAAGATAATTTGAGACAAAATTTGGTTAATTATCAAATCCTCAAATAAGGTATGATTTTGGCCAATTTGTCTCATCTATCTAACCAAAAATATGTCCATTTATCGAGTCCTTGCATATGAGCTTTGTATGCAAGTACATTTTTTTGTCTATTAAATTTGCTTCTTCATAGTCAAAAGTATGGTTTTTAAAAGGAGTATTTTCCTCTCAGGTTATTCTAGTACCAATCTGATCAACAGTTTCCATTTAGTTAGCCTAGATTAACAAAGTCCTGATATTATTACAGTAATATAGCAACCACTTTCCAGAATTATATCACAAACTCATAATACAAACAGTATTTTAGTTTTTTGCCATCCACTTTAAATATTCATATTAATAGTTGTCTTAAAATTTAAATAATTAAAATGAATATTTGTCAAAACAGGTTCTGATCCACAAACTGATTTTATAGCCTACAATTAGACTTTGGGAAATAAATTTAGATAATTAAAAATGAATATTCTTTAAAACAGGATCTGATCAACAAACTGATTTTATAGCCTACGATTAGGTTTTGGGAAATAAAGGGTTCTTTGGGGAGGAAATCCAGGAGATAAGGGTGACTTGTACCAAAACCTGTATGTTCCATACCAAGCAGAGAGGCCCACCAAAATGCCAAAAATCTTGTCCCAAAAATCATGGAAATATACAGCAGTAGTAAGAAGCATGAAAAGCCAGATAAAAGTCAAACAAGCCAGTGCTAAGAACAAACTGTTCACCACATCGTGCAGTCTAGAACCACGGAAAGTTTTCACGCTGGGCATCACAGCCATTTCTTCTAGAATCATTAGAATGCAATATGAAAGGAGGAAGGAATGTCCTGAGATATCAAAACTTTCCCATATCCCACCAGCTTGTAGGCATTGTACTTGGTTGGAATGTTCTTGAGTCACTACAGCAAGGGTTGACGATTTGTAACAACTGCCTGTGAAGTCCTGAATGAGCAAAAATGTACTTGTGCATGTATACCAAATGATAGTGCCAACCATCAGTGAGAAAAGGCGAACAAGTACAGGCAAAACATTCTGGAGGACATTGTAGTTGGTGAGAGAGATGAACGGAAACAGCAGGCAGAATGTCCAGGCCCAAGCAAATTTCACAAAATAGCTGCCAGAGATACAATGAAGAAAAATATATAGTGAGCACCAGGCAACATCATGTAATCGACATCCTTCCTGATTAATTTCTGTAACTATTAGGGGGAATGTTGCATCCATACTTATAAACCCTGTAATAGGAGAGTCAACATATGATTTCATCTAAAATAACAGAATTACAGAATAACAGAAGTACAAAATTCGTGAAAAAAATGTAAAATGTAAAGGTCTAATGTAGCGGTTTTTAATGAGATCCAATTAAAAGTAGTCCTTGACTTCTAACTACAAATGGGATGGTATTTATGGTGGTAACAAGTCAAGGCACCCATGTGACTACTTTGAAGTTACAAATTTAACAAAGTTATGCGGTTTACTTTTGGTTGAGTTAAACAGATTAGTATTTAGCAAAAGTAAAATCTCCTTTGAGTTGAACTTAGGTCTTGGTGATTTTGTAGACACACACCTGTACTTTTCTTAACAACATTGTATTAATTTGCCATTTCTAAAATGTTTTAAACTTCCTAATTGTATCTAGATCATAGGATTTTTCTGGTGATCTCTCTTCTAAGTACTAATCAGCTCTTACCCTGCTTAAATTTAAGAAACAACTTAAGTTTTTATCAGATTTCAATTCAATTCATACTAATCTCTGGCTAGTAATTAACCTTACTATATTAATTAATACACTTATTACAACTTATTCTTCCCGAAGTGTAGAAAAAGTGAAGATCAGTTAGCCACTGGAATAAATTGCCGAATAGGGATCATGAGTTGCCTTGAGGACCATGAGGTTGGGATGTATCAGGCAGACCCTGAAGAATTATATGTTAGTCACTTAATTTGGATTCCTTCGCTCAGCAAGACTTAGATAATGCATTAATTAAAATAGACAACATAGGTTCCTTGGCTCTTTCTCAAACTATACAACTTGGGAAGCAGGTTAGTAACCAATTTCGCTGTATTTAAGTACAATGACAATAAAGATTATACTTGGTAATGTATCTCGGCATAAAAAGATATGATGAATCCTCCGGGGGGGGGGGGACGGGACGCCCTTCACTCAGATATAAAAGAGCCAGACCTCTTTTGGCTCATAAACCCTTCTCCCCATTCATACTGTATTTCGTCAACGCCCTTCAGCAAGCCCCCTACTCTTTGCTCCTCTGCCAACCAGTGTCCCCTGTATAGCGAGGCCCTGCCTCTCGGATCCCCTTGATCTTCCTCTTCCTCCATCAACGCCCAGGACTCGCAAGGGTCAGAGAAAGCCCCTTACACATTGAGTACGTTGCGCTTGTTACTCAGGTAAGTAGCAGCCGGCGGCATTAGTTCTTTAACAAGGGATCCGATCACCATGAAGCTCATCAGTGCCCAGGGCATCATCCGCCGCACCGAGCAGTGGGTCAAGTAAGGCAGCAAGACGCGCGTGGCTCGGTCCACAGACTCCATGACGGAGGAGTGGGCAAGACCGCAGCGAAGGAGAAAGCGGTGACCCACCCGGCACGGAACCTCCAACTGCCGTATTGCGTCGATGATCACGTCAAATCAGCTCCTCCTCCATTCCACTCCGCCGCCCCTCCTTCGTCAAAGCTACTACAACTGTCTGCAAGGAGGCGAGACAAGATGCATGGAATGCGCATGCGCAGCTTACCGCGAGGCTTGTTAAATTTGCCCCCGGCGGTTGAGGTTTAAGTTTGTCGTCTTCCGACTGCGACTGCGTGATAGAAGTCACGTGCAAGTTCACTTTGCTTTGGGCCAGATTGACGTTTCTAATCCCGTGGTCTTTTCCATGCGGTTAATCGTAATTCCCATCTCCCCCAACGCGTATTATTTGTGCTACAGGAAGATCTTTTCCCCAAATTAAAGAATTCTAATCTTTTCTCACAGAGTTGCTTGAACCCCCTGCTCTCTTAACCCCAAACGTGCTTTTAAAAAGGCAACTGGACTTTCTCCCCCCTCCTTCGGAAATTGTTGCTTCTCATCCAAGAAGCTTCCTCAATTCTCACTGAATGGTAGAGAATAGCAGGATTTACATCCAGTCCAAAAGCATCTTTCAGACAATTATGACCTGGATGATAGAGAATCTCCATAGACATTGCTCTCAATTTTTATTTTCAAGCTTTCATATTCCTTTTCAAGTATGTTTCCAGAATTATACTCTAGATGTGGATGTACCACAGATTTATAAAAAGTTATTACAATAGTAGAGTCCTTGATGTTCTCTGAGCTTACAGATGTCAATATCCAACATGAGTGCTTGATGATTAAAATTAGACTCCACAGTTTTATGTTTCAACTAGTTACAACCAGGAACTGCATATATTCTCTTCTGTTGTAGTTATTACTGTGTTGCCATTTTTATCTTTAATCTCTTTCCTAGTGCTATTAAAGCGTGGAATTTACTGCCCTCACTTGTGAGGGTTGGATGCTTGAGTGAGGTGTTTTTCCAGAGAAAAAATAAGGGTGAGATGGGGGAAATACTTGGAGTATTCATGTTTTCTTTTTATAGTATTGTTGCTTTCTAACATAACATTTCTAACATGAGGACTACACTACTTTCACAATTGGAGTGGCCAATAAGCTTAGTAAAATAAATATTACATATCAGTTGTATTGCACTTTGTGATAATTTAAAAAATAAATAAATTTATAAACTGCCTTTCAGACACATTGTCTCAGAAGACTGGTAAATTATATTAACCAGTCATTCATTTAAGAATGAAGACGTGGCATAAAGAGGATAGTTAGAAGCTTGCTTAAAGGAAATGTCATCATTCTCTAACCACAAGATGTTCCAGCCAACGTCCCTATGTCAAAAGTCCAAACCACAAGGTTCAAATAAAGTTCGTTAATGACACATGGTCCATATCTGTAACAAAAGGAGAAGTAAGACCCNCACGTGGGCTTGTTGGGGCCTCCAGACGAACAGGTATGCTAAAGCATGCTAAATTTCGCCTGTATTAGTCTCTACCAGCTGAAACCCACTATTCACCTACTTCACTCCAGCACCAGTTTTAGTTATTGTTCTTTGGTTGTTCCAGATTTATGGTAGCCTTCTTTAGGCTGTCTCTTCTCCTTGCCATGGCTGAGAAGGAAAAAGAACCCTGGGTCAGACAGGAGAGCTCCTCGACCTTACAGGGTGCCCTTCTTTGCTTCACTGCCCCTCCAAGACAGCTTTGGCTCCTCTTGGAGCCCACCAACAGGGGGAAGTCAGCACAGGAAACACAGAGACCTGTTCCTTGTGTCTGATATCACTGTGATGTCAACTGGAAGTCCGCTATTTTGAGTCTTGACTAGATCAGAATGCAGAATGCAGAATGCTTGGAGCTGATGGCTAAATTCAACAAGTTGTTCAGCAAAGAGCTCTATTGCAATAGCAGTGGCCATAGGAGTGGCATGGCCCAACTAACAGCAGCCTAAACAAAACTGGTTTGAAGGCAAGTCTTCAGGGTGCATGTTCAGCTAGCGATGGATATTAGAAGGTTATGGGTTGGGAATAAACTGTCCTGTCCAAAGCCTGATACACATAACACACATGCACAAGGAGCCCAGTCAAAGGCCTTACTTAGTTTGAGTAATTACAGCAAGGTGTCTACAATATGCGGACGTGCACACACAATCTCAGAAAGTCTAGAAATGCTTGGAAAGCTCCCGATAAGCAAAAGTTTCAAGCAGTAGGAAGAAATGTCATCCAAGCACTATCCAGACTTTTGTAGAGCTGCGGTAGCTGGTCCAGATTCAAAAGCAGCATTTCCACAGGCAGGAGTTCAGGGCACAAAACCCCAAAGGTTCCAGTAAATTGAGCAGTTGTTCCCCATGAAAGATTGCTTGCTAGCTGTGGCTCTGAAATAGAGCTGCACCAGTTGCAAGTAGTTAATGGTGGGGATACCCTTGCCTTGCAAGGAGTTGTGTTGATCTCCTCTGTTGATCTCTTCATGGCTTAGAACTTGGTGTGTCGGGCGCAATGCATTAAGTTGTATTTCTGGATATTGATCGCTCAAACCTATAAACAAGAATCTGGTTAACTAAAGTTCTGTACTAAATTGGCACTAGATAAGGGTCAATGGAAGAGGACATGGACTGCTTGTGGGGATGTAGTGACTCTAGGCTGATGATATGCTTAACCCCAGCCACCAGCTCAGCCTGCTCTTCTCTGACATGTGGTGGGAGGTCTTAGATCAGACCCCCTCATCTGCTGTTGCTTCTAGCTGCTCACAGGCTCTGCAGCTCCAAGTATGTCCCTGCTGTTCTCTGAGGCAGACTGCTATCCCACAAGGTCCTCTGTAGTCACCTCTACAGGGGTGGGTTTCAACCGGTTCGCACCGGTCCCTGCGATCCGGTTGGTCGCCGAACCCGGAAGTAAGTAACTTCCGGGAATGGCAAAGCCCCCCCCCCCGCGCCCGCGTGTGCCCGCACACCCGCGCCCGCTCCTTACCCGGTTTTTACAAATTCTGCACTTCCACGCATGCGCA